ATCAACATTTTAACAAGACAATGTCATGGTCTGTAGATTTATGCAGTTAATGTTCACTGAATTGCAGTAATAGCAGTTATTTACATGTTACATTCCACCAGTTTCTGAGAAAAACAATTTATCTGAGAACATGATTTCAGCATTCTACAGTAAAATTACTATGTAATGACCAAATCTTATTGATCTTACTCAAGGCAAACCATTAGCTTAAGGAAAGAGCAGAATATAAGATACATTCCAGCAGCCTGGGACAATTTTTCTTCTCCAGGGTGAGATCATCACTAATCTGCAAAAGCACAGACATTATTTTGGAGAGCAAGAATGGCATTTGGAAAACCAGGCACGAAGTCATTCAGATGGATAGATAGTTTATTCAGTCACAGACCATCACACTCTTACAGATCTGTAAGGTGCTTGTTCTTTCTTCAAGCCTACTTATTGCAGGAGTAAAGATCCAAAGCTCTTCCCTTCTTTCTTTGCTTATGGTACTTACTGCTAATCTGAATGCTGTTAGCTACTACAGATAGCCTTTTGGTTATTTACCAACCTGCTTCAGTTTACTTCCTGATCTCTTTACCTATTTGTTAATTATGTGACAACAGTTTAATCAGAGAACCTGAGGAAAACCAGAGAGAGAGAGAGAGAGAGAGAGAGAGAAACCACCCCACCCCACCCCTAATCTATTGTAAAAAGAGTGGAATAATATCTGAACTATTCTGTTACTACAGAACTATTTAGCCACTACACGTAAGTGTATTTTTTCTTTTATTATTTATCCTTTAATTTAAGGCAGTTACATATACCAGTTAAGACAAGCTTCAAGTCTACACATAAACTGTAAAAATTAGTGCTAAGAGCCTTTTAGCTTTGTATGTTGTATTTGACAAAAAGCAACAGTCAGTGCTGAGAGAAGCCTGTAAAAAAAAAGACAAGAAAAATTCCAGCCTTAGTCAATTTGTGATTTAGGTGGTTCTTGATGCAAATCTTGTATCTCATAGGCCTTAATATATTTTTATTCCACAAAATTGTCAAAACATTTCTATGAACTCACATGAAATTTTTTACCACAACTTCTTGACACAAGATAGATTAGATAGATAGATAGATAGATAGATAGATAGATAGATAGATAGTGTAACTATGTGTTGTCTAAATAATTGCCTTTTTAAATTTATTTTACAAGATGCCGTCTGCTTGATCCCTAGTTCTGTACTGGAATAGACAGTGAGTGATCATTACGTATTCACCCTCTTCATCCCATTTCTGATTTCAGAGACCTCTGTAATGTTTTACCCAACTAAAGCAAATAATAGCAAAAAATGTTTCTAATAAAATTGAATTGATTCCAGAAAAAAACTAAGTGATTAAAGTGACACAGCTAAATAGATCTCTTCCAATAAACTACTTTTCTTTCAAATTTTTCTTGTATTTTCTGACTTGATGACTTTTTGCTGAACTAACTAGAATGAGCCTAACTGCCATTGTTTGTATGATGTTAAGCTGGAACTTCAGCAAAATTGCTTCTCTCGGAGTATTGTGCAGTTCTATTCACTTTTTGCCTCTCCACTTGCAAAAGAGTGTTCTTGGAACTTTAATAGCCAAAAGAGATGAGAGACTAATTTTTCTATTATAGATTAGACCGGTATTAATAGAGTGTCCTTCACACCATGCTAGAGCCCAGGATTGCCACTAAATACTACAAAACAGTGTGATCTGCTATCAAAAATAGCTCCCGCAGCTGCACAGATTTGTCTTGGAGGTGTCTCATTCTAATCCAATGCTAGTAAGAATTGATGATGCCTCAGAGTGCCTGGTAGGGCTGCAGGCAGTTACAGTGCAAATGTAAGAGTTGTTCTGAGGTTACAGAAGTATGTCTGTTCCCTGTATCAAACATCAGTTGCAATTGCATAGTATTTTAAGTATGGGCTAATTTTTCTGACTACCATAGTAGGCCTGCAGAAATTCATATGTGTGAATAATCTGAAATTCTGTTGCTTTGGGGTATTTCCTTGAACAGAATTGATCTTTTTTTTTCAACAACTCAAATATTTACTTCATAAGTCTTTAACTGTTAAGAACACCGACACAGTACTGTTCTTCATGTGCAGATTCAAATCTTGGGAATATAGCAAACTGAATGAGTCACTTCATTTAAAACTTAATAATGTGGTTAACTGTGAAGGTTCACTGCTACTTTTCGTAAGAGTGCTGTTTAGCGTAAGGACTGTTTTATACTTGTCTTGTACTCCATGTTTAGACAGTCATTGTTCCGTGCAGTTCCACTGCTGGGCAGAAAGGTCTGACACCCTTTCTGCAGAAAGAATGGCTTAAAACAGGCAGCGAATAGAAAATCCAGAACAAAGGGGATATGTTCAGCAAGAGATTAATCCAAATTGTCTGCACTGACATGTAGGCAATATATGGATCCTGGATTCAAAAACATAAGGTTGCTCTTGAGCCACTAAACTTTGTGCTCTTAATTCTCTTTCAGCAGATTTCAATAGCAGGATTCTGAATGAGCTCCAGTAAGGATGGGAATACAACAGCATCTGTCTGTAGTATCAGTCCAGAGTAATTAAGACTTCCCACATGTTCGAACTAAAACTGTGTCTGAAGCTCAGTGGGGAGTTAAACATTTATATTCTTAAATTAAAATCAGGAAAATACTAAATAGATGCTGCCATTCAAATTTTTCATCACAGATCATTACTGCATGTAACCATTTAAAGCCCACTGTTGACAAATACTCAATTGCAACCAATGAGTAAAGGTTGAGATCCTTATTTAAACAAATTTTGATGTAGATGAGCTCTTTTTGAACTAAATGAGGAAGCTTTGGTTTCTGACTGTGAAACTGCAAAGAAAATCAGACCTGTTCTTCACTTTCAGAAAGCCCTTCAACTCTCAGAAATGAAACCTGTGATACTTGCGAGGTGTATGAAAGGATACTGGTGAAAGCTCCTTATTCTATTAGGGGTTTGGAATGGATCTTCTTTTCTCAGTGCTTCCCTGTGCCATGGAAGAAGTGAATCTTTGTTATGTTTTCTGATGTAAGGAGATAACCTTAAAAGATTTACAATTTGGAAAGGGCTTAAAGTGGTGTTGCATGTTTAACTTCTTAACTGCAACCTTAAAGCCCCCAACTAAGGAGCGTAAACCTACTTTTCCAATAGAGGTCTGTTTTCCTTTACTCTCTGCTTAATTTTCACCTATGTCCACTCACCTTTGCAGTGAACAAGTTATGGATAACATTCCTGAACTAACGTTTGCTGTAATAACAAGCTTGACTTTTTCCTCCAGTCAGTTCACATGCTCGTAGGTTTTCTTTCACCACCATATACCACAGCCCCAAGCTCCAGGATGCTCCCTGCTACTCAGCCCCTTCTTTACCTATCACCTCTGGCAGAGATGTAAACACTGATCTTTGGCTCCACCTTGTGATCTCCCTGGCGAGACCAGCAAAGGTGAAATGAGGGATCCTCAATCCTGGTTCCAGCTGTGGTTTTGATCTCTCTGCCTGTATAGGAAATGGAAAAAAAAGCAGTCAATAAGATTCTTCAGGTCAAAATTCTGACTTCAGAAGAAGCAATAAGGTTGAAAAGTGTAACTAAATAAAAATAGGTAGGCTCAGAAGTGTGAAATACATTATCCAAGAGAACAAAATAAAATAAGAAGCGCTGAAAGGAAGTCAGTTGGCAACCTAGGGGTTATGATGTGAGTTTAAAATGGTCATTTTTGTAAAGTGCCAATGCTAGAATGCACAAAATAGGACACAAAGTTGCCTTCTTTGTTAAATACATTAACAAAAAGAACTAGTGAAAAATGGACCCAGAATTTACTGCATAACATGGCAATATTGTTTTTTTGTTAGTCTGAACATTTGTCTGTCACATTTCCATGAAAACAACTCTGATATCAGAGCTGACCACACAGGTAGCATTTGGTTCCTAGCAGGAAAAAAAAAACAAGTCAAGCATTAACGTCAGTTTCTGCTTTGTGAGAACATATTGTGGCCAAAAAGATTTTGAAATAATTTGCATTTTTAAAGCTTGAGTGAGTACCAGTGCGTAAAGCTGACAGCATAAGCTGGGCCCCTGGAAAACACTTCGTTTTTGTATTTCAGAACAGTTACTGCCATCGATAAAGTGCAGAACTGTGGAAGATAATCTTCTCAGCAGACAAAAGGTCAGACTGTAAAAGTTTTGCTTGTCATTTTCCAGAAGAAATTCATAATATTAACTTGTGAAATGTAAAAAGGAGTGTTTTCACATTGAGTTTCTATGGGCAATGTTGCTTCCCTGAATTTTTAGAGTTGATTTATTAATTATTAATTTTTTTATGTCAATAGAATATGGAACTATACGTACTTTAAATCTCTCAAATGCCAATAACCAGAACTCGTGTGAAAAATGTTACCTCTTGGATTGTTTATGTATTTGTACTGCTGTAATAACTACCAGAAAACCAGTGCACTGAAATGGAGAACGTAGCTCACATTTGCCACGTGAGCATAGTCATTGTGCTGCTTCGATACCACCGTTAGACACGGACAGGACTATAGAGGGGTCTGATCAATGTTATTATTAGTTTGGTCAGTTTCCCTGTCTTATGTGCAATGACTAATTTACAATCAAATCATAGTAGTGCACAGAGATGTTCGAAATGGATAGGAAAATATTGCTGAATTTCTAATATATAGGCTAAGTGTTGCTGACATTGTCAGAACGTATCATGTTATAAAATCAAGTGATGTATCTCCTTGTGCTAGAAGTTTCTCCAAGTGAAAAAAAAGTAATAAGGAAGGAAGGAAAAGAGAGAAAGCAAAGTACATTTATTTCTAAAAACGAATATTTTGAACTTCGAAAACATAGTCAAACCTGTGGCTACAAATCTTATTTAAAAGTGGAATTTACCAGATGCAGGAAATTATTGATAGTATGGCTTATAATTAGAAGATGAAGGTATGTATTTTGTCAACAATTATCTCTTCTTTCTTGTAGATGAAAGTGTTCATTATTTTGGGAATTTCAGCAGCTATAGCCTTCACAGCTGTTTTCTTTTCTTTCCTTCAGATAGGCAAAGATATCCTCTTTGGTAAGTAACAGAAAAAAAAAATGCATGTTATTTTATTTTGTCGCTGATTACTTTTAAGCTGAAAATACACTGGCACTGCAGACAGTTAAGCAATGGCAATTGAGCTTTATCTCTTTTTATGTGCAAAATACACTATCTGACTTCTGTGAGATTTATTCTATGGGTGTTCTCTTTTAAAATGCATCTTCATAAATTCACAAAGGAAAACTTTAAGAGTGTAATATATCTCAATTATGCATTCTTTGACTCAGAGTGATTTTACTTTCTTAGTGACATTCATATGTCAGCTGACATGTTTACAAGCATGATTGCTGGATTTCTTTCCCAGACTGCTAGTCACTACGGTTAGTGATCCTGGGCTAGAGTCAGTTGCCATAGGATGTCCCACCTGGCACCCTGCTGCTGGCCCACGAGGGTGCACGTCTGCTGTGGGTCTGTTCTCTGCTGGCACCCTGCAGATACCACGGAGATGTTAGAGCATCTCAGAATGCAGTAATGTCTATGTTCAAACAGTATAATCTTGCCATTTTAAACATCAGAGCTATTTTATTTGCATCTGTTCAATATAAATCAGTTAGAAATACTAGACTAGAAATACAGCAGATACTAGAATGAATTGTAAGAGACTTCTGCAGAGACTGATTTTACATTAAAGTAGGACAGACACGATGAAGAAATAGGATTTCAATCTTTACATTCTCTTAATTATATAGCTGTAGATCTGATTCAGAAAGGGAAGTCCTTAGGAAAGTCTTCACTTGAAGTTAGTGTAGAATCACAAATAAAATAAAATTATCTACAAAATAAACAAAAAAAACATGAACCAACTGTCAAGCCATTATATCAGATGGGAAATGTTTTTTGGACCATCACTGTGAAACAAGGAATGAGATTTATTTTCCATAGTGGATTCTCTACTTGGAGCTTCCATATTAATTGTTTGGAAAGACAAGGTCTAAAATGGGGTTATATTGTATGTTAGTTAATACAAAATTATTATACATGGACTGTAAATAAATGGAATAGATGGTCTGTATATGATTATTTTTTTATACTAAGTGTCCTTTGGTCTGATGGGAAAAATATGAAATAATATTTATTACCACAAGAACCACATTTTTGAAAACACTGCATTGGTACCAAAATAGTATTTCTCAGTAGAAAAAGAAAAGAGACAATGGAATTCAGGTATAGCAGCTGGATGTTCTCTTCTAGATCAGCGACTGAATCAATATCCCATGATGAGCAATACTGTGATCGTAATATATTTCTCAGAGGTAAACTCTCTACCAGTAGTTAAAAATCAAGCAATATTAGCTTCTAAAATCATTAGCTCTTGTATGGCCTATAAAGATCAGTCTTGCTTTTTAAAATAGACTGAAAACTATTTTCAGATGTAACCAAAATCTGAATGATAATATTAAATGAATCATAGAATATCTTATCATATATAGGTGAAAAAGAGGTATAACTACTGTGATACTTATAGGCTGAGAAGACCTTTAGTTGGGTGAAGGAGAATTTTGCCTAGGAAAGATTAGTCCTCATCATACATTATCTTCCCTTCAGCTGAGCATCCTATTCAAAAATAGATCACAGGAATAGCACAACACGGACTACAGTTATGTGACCTAAAATTAAAGCGTACATAAATGATGAGCAATTGTATCTAAATGATTATTAGCAAGATGTTCATTATTGTTTTTCTAAGAAAAAATGGGTGTTCTCACTAAATATAGATGGGAATTAAACCACTGGATTTCAAATGTAACTGACTCATGTAACATAAAGCTAGATCTACACAAAAGAGAAATAATCTATATTCCATGACAGTATTACGCAACATAGCAGAGCTAAAGTATTACTAGGTTCACATGTGTCTTTCCATCAAACATAGGTGGAAAAATGAGAATAGGGCTTTCATGCATTGGTCAAATGCCAGAACGTCTTAAAGTTTGTTGATTATGCCTGAATATGGATTTGAATTTTTCGTGTGGCTCAGGCCAGCTGATACCGCCTGTGAGGGAGACGCAGATTTGTCCTATCAATCCAAGGACAGTTTAGTGCTAAATGCATATGAAGCCTAAGGAGCGAAATCACATACACAGAACACAACACATATCAGCTGGACCTGTGAGATTTGGTACTATATAACATGTGCACAGCAGGATTTATACTGGAAGAAACAGAAGGAGAGTCTAACCCTTCAAGCCGTATAAATGAGGGAAGAATTGATTTACTACCCCTACCTTATATTTCAGAAAGGTCAGAAGCCACATTAGTTTTAGCAACATTAAAATATAGAGAACATTTCAATGGGGAAAAATTACATATACCTTAATATTAAAAACCTATGTATTTTCTAAATGTAAATATTTGAATAAATATGTTATTGGGTAACATATTAATCTTCCTTTCTTTTAATTTTTTCCCTGTTGAGAAGAAAATGAAGGTAACTGCATTGCTGAGGCTATTCAGAAGGGCTCTAATCTGGTGGATTATGCTGCACATAATACACTGAAAAGGTAAAAAAAAGTTAAGGATCTATTCAGCAAAAAGCTTTCATAACAGAGAAGTTTGGGATCAGTCTGTTTTGTTGAGGAATCATAAAGTGATAGATTATGTTTGTGATCCTCTGAACCAACATCAGTTTGTTCATTATCACCACATGAGTTCCTCTCTTAAAATGTAAGAAAAATAAGAAATATGAAAATACTTAGGAATGTTTTTCTGATCTAAGTAGCACACCACATTCCATTAACAGGTGGCTCAAAAATGATCTTATGGATGTTACATATTTTTGAACATTAATTATATTTTTTCCAGTGCAGAGTGATATGGGAACAACTCCTGTGGCATCAGTTTCAAAATCCTATTGCTTTAAATGGGACTGTTAAAGTGAATTTCATGTTTCCGTTTCAATCTAAAACAGATGTAATGAAAGGATAAGGGACAGGAAATAAAGCATTTATCTTGAACTGTGGGCAGTGAACAACTTAGGGAAAGCTCCTCTGTACTTGAGTTATACTGTAAGATTGATCCCTTTCCAGGAATTACGAAAGCGCCTTAGGATGACTAGGCATGAGTCTAAAAAATTCAACCATTTTCTGTGTAGCTCTGACTGCATTTCTGTGCTATACGAAATTAATTTTTCTCCAATGTTTGGAACATATCAGCTAAGTTTTATGGGGTACAATCACTACCCTTTTGCTTAGACTTTCCTAAAGGACTTATCTCTATGTTTTGAAAATGAATCACAATTTGCAGAGCTCTGGGAGAGATGACCATTTGTATGGACAGAACCTGTCAAAAACTGTGGCTGCTCAGTACATGGAGGCTGAGGTCACTTTCATTTTGTAGTATTAGTACTTCGGTGACAATCCTGAGGCATTCAGATTTAAAAACGTAGGTCTCAACCTTTCAGTGGCTCAGCTGCCTCATGTACCAAATGAAGATAGTGATGTTTAACTCTGTCACAGAATATTGTGGCAATTATTTGGTCAGTATTTGCCCAATACCTTAATGATGACAATTGCTAAAAGGTGCTAAAAGATAAATGCTTAAAGATGATTGTTTCAGTTCTGTAAGGAATAAAACTTAGACCACTTGCTCAGCTCAGATGAATCACTAGACTGTTAAGCTTCCATCAAAATATTGTGTATGTGGATATATAGACTCTAAAAAGCATTGTTATTCAAAAGTCCTATTATTGGGTTCCCTTTAAAAGCCTTTACAAGAATTGCAGATTCACAGCATGGCTGAGGTTGGAAGGGACCTCTGGATCTCTGGTCCAACCCCCCTGCTCAACCAAGGCCACCTAGAGCTGGTTGCCCATGACCACATCCACACAGCTTTTGAGTATCTCCAAAGAGGGAGACTCTACAACCTCTCTGGGAAACCTGTGCCAGTGTTCCATCACCCTCCCAGTAAAAAAGTGTTTCCTATGTTCAGACAGCACCTTCTGTGTTTCAGTTTGAGCCTGTTGCCTCTGTTTCTATCACTGGGCACCACTGAAAAAAGCCTAGCTTCATCGTTTTTGTGCCCTCCCTTCAGGTATTTATATAAATTGATTAGATCCCCCCTGAGCCTCCTCTTCTCTAGGTAGAACAGCTCTCTGAGTCTTTCCTCGTATATGAGGTGCTCCATTATAATTATAGGTATATTGGTACATAAATATTACAGAAAGGCAAACAAATAGCACATTTTCTCTTCTGCTCCCCTCTCATCCCTTCCTCTGCCTTCCCCTCCCTTCTCTTCACTTTCCTTTCTTCCCCTTCCTCTTTCTTTCCTCTTTTATCAGCAGCAGTTGAAAATTTGATCAGTGATTTAAAACTGTTAAATTAAGTACTTGATCTGATAGGCACTGTTGTTAACCTTTGACTTTTTCATAGGCAGAACACTGCTAGTAACAGTGCTCTGACCACTGGTTACATCTTTTGTTTAAGTTTGAGGCTAATCGTGTGCGCAGCCGAAGCCTTGTGCATGCAGCGGAGGGTAGAAAGATGTCCATTAGTATCACCACTGAGGCACATGCTTTCCTGTTTTGTGGAATCAGAACCACAAGTGTTCGACAAGTGCATTAGGAGTTTAAGTCCCATAAAGACTAAAATTTATTCTAATGTTAACTAGTATAAAATATTTGGTCTTTCAATTGACAAATGATCATTAGCAGAAGCAAAAATTGTATTTATATTGTGCGCTTTTATATAATTCAATTCATTGTGGCCCAATTAAATGGGACAGTAAGAATTATAAATATCATTACGATACTTCTTGTTTTAATATAAGCTTGTAAAGGTAGTCTACATTTGCTTCAGATATTAGCCCTGGCCATTTGAGAAGTACAGAGGACTGAACTATTGTCTAATCTGACCATTATATTGAGGAGTGAATGTGTTTCGTTAAATACTTTTGCATTTTCATGAAATTTTAAAGCTATTAAGTCTTCTTTCATTAGTAAGTTTAAGAATACTGTACACTTGAATTAAAGCTTTGGTCAGCACATAAGCTAAACACAAGAAAGGAATGCATGTGACTACATATTTGAGCTTCTGGAAGTTATGGAGGTCACAGTATGTTGAAAACTCATCTTACTTTGACTTACAAGTTACTGAAGGAAACTACAGTGCAATATAGATGAACTCAGTGCTGTCTTTGAGACTGAAAAGCCAGTTTGGAGACAAAAGAGCAGCTCCTTTCTCAGGTTAGAATAGGAAAACTCTTGGCTGTTCCATGTACAATAGTCCAGCCTGATGTTTGCTGAATTCATGATCTAGGTGTCTGAACTGCAAACTGAGTCACAATAACTGGATTTCTCCTGAGACCTCAATTTGACCTTGAACAGTGGTTAAAATGGACAAGTACACTTCTTCACCTCAACTGTTTAATAACATCACTCAAATTCTTGAATTGTTGCTTGTGTTTTAGAGATTTAGTTGTGTTAGAAATTACTTCTCAGGCTTTAAGGTCATGTAAGTCCCATCATGGTCCTCAGATTCTGCTGTGCTGTTCATGATTGTCTCCCCTTGCCAAGTGCTTCTTGTGACTGCTAGTATCTGCCTGCTATTCCAGCTAGCTTCTGGGTTTGTTAATCTTTAAGGGTGGGTATTCATGCTTGTCATTGTAATATAAACAGTCATAATATTATTAACATAGCATAGATGGAACACAATGGCATCATCATTAAAATATACTATTTGTATTACAGTGGCCATGCCAATGGGAACCTAGGCAATCTGGGTAGGGCTCTCAGAGCCATGTGTCACCTGTGAGGTTACAACACTTACTCAGCAGTATGTGCAAATACAATGCTAATTTACAACCAGGTGTGTTATAAAATACATTTTGAAACTAGTAGCTGGCTTGCAAGAGTAAACTGTAGTTACAGAAAATCTTGTTGTAATAACAACCAGTACAAATTATGAAACTTGTACTAGCTTTGTCTAGGGAATCTCAGCAATACTGGGAGGGGTACCGATTACAGCCACATGTTCTTTTTTGTATTCCGCTGAGTCTCTGCTTTTTCTAGTTTTTAAGGTGTGAAAGAAACTAAAGAGAACTCCAGAATGGGCAAGATGTTCAAAGTGATAGTCTCTTGGGCCTGTGTTGCACACAGCAGCAAAGGATCATCGATTTCTCCAGTTAGAACTTGGTAATTAACTCAAAAGGACTGATGAACTGGTTATGTATAAGAGAGATATGAATTATATTGGTAGGTGAGGCAGTGCTAGATATTTGGGTTGAGCCAGTTTTAGAGAAGACATATTTTTTTCAGACTGCTGTTTGAACTTACCCTAGTAGATTCATGTCAAGTACAATTCTAATACAAACGCAAGAGGTTTTCTTAGCCTATATAAAGAAAGCAATGATTGAAATTTCTGAGTATTTTTTTAACATATGTGTTAGCTAAAGGCACAGTGTTCTTAACAGATTAAAAATTATACATGATAACACTAAAAAGAATTCAAGCCATAATAGCAGAATAAAAGTATTTCTCACCACCTTCATTCTGGTAAAAATACTTTTATTTAGTTCATACTACATTTAGACTAGTTTTCTTCATGCATTTAAAGAATCTAAACTGTAAACCCCACAATTTAAGATGCTTTTTCTATTGGCCCCTATCTGTGCCAACTCAAAAGGACCAGCTACAGAAGGGACCATCATGGGATCACCTGTATGCACAGGGAAGTGGAAAATAATTTTCAGTATTCCATATAAGAAGTTATAGTTGCAGAAATTCACTAAGCTTGATCAGTTAGTGCCAGTCTGGTCTGAAAGCAGACTGGCCGTGTACGTACACTTTACAGGAAAGACGATATTCTATTCTTTATAATTTTGTAACTTCATCTCTTTATATTCTGCGCAATGTCACTGTTTTGAGAGATCTCCTGAATGGTGACAAATATCTAAGGCATGAATTCAGGCTAGAGATCTGTAAACAAGGTAGTCTATAAATATATTAATTTAAGACAGAAAGAAATCTCAGATTCAAAATATCTGAAACCGAAAGAGAAAACATAGCTTATGCTCCAGAGAATTTTATTTTAAATTTTGGTGGGTTTTTTGTGTACATGTGTTTCTAATTATGATCTGTAATGAGACTCAATAACTGAGATTTTGGCAAGCATAAAGAACATTCTGTTCAAACACTATGGTCCACAGTAGGACTTATATTCTTAAACACGTATGAAAGACTTTATATCTGATCTCATGTTCCTAATAATGATACTATCACGGATCATTCCATTAGCTTTATGGGGCTATTTCTACATTACAAAATACTGAGACAGTTTGTAACTTACACAGTGTTCAGCTTTAGGAGTGTGGCTAAGAACTAGAGGGGACTAGCGTGCATACATTGAATAGGAGCAGGGGGTGGAATCAACAGGAAATGTGGCAAATTAATAACTGCTGTAATAGTATTACAGTATCCATGAGATCAGACAAAAGATAGAAAATATCTCAAAATGGAACCTATCTTGCTGTTAAGGGTGATGGTGATTCTGTTTTGGGGGGCTTTTTGGGGTGTGGGTTATTTTTGATTCTTAGCTCCTAGCTAATTTCTACAAATGTTCTTATTTAACTCATTTGTACAGACATGTTTACGTGTTCATATAAATCTTTTTAAATGATGCATGACTGATATTATCCTCATGTGGATATTAAAATATTAAACCTGTGTTCTGGCTGGCAGTTCAGGACTTTTAATATGCCAGATTCCCTGCCAAATTGCTAGTTGTCTATGGAAAACCTGAAAAACATGCTGCTGAGGAACAAGATAGCTCTTTTTTATAGCTGCAAAAGTTCTTGAGCTCTGCTTTTGAAAGGAAAGGAATAGTTTCTGTACTGAGAATAAATAAGCAGGCTCTTTTGGATCAATTAAGGACAAATTTAGCATCTAGAAAAACCCTTGGAGTTGTATTTTGTTACTCGATGCTTTTTATATATGCATGTTTCTAATTTTGCAGACAGAAATGTAACTGTTTGCCCAAATCAAAACAGTTGTTTCCATTTTAAACTTACATCTCATGCTTTAAACAAACCAAAGTGAATATAACAGCACAACATTTTTGTGAAAATTGCGTATCCAGATAAATCCGTGCTGCAGAGAAGCCCTTGGGGATGTCTGCAACCTGTGACCATGTCTGGAAATGGATGTCTGGAAATGGAATAGGCTGGAGGTTTTTTTCTAAGCTGTAGGAGTCAGTTTAGGACTTGGGGCTTCCAGCTGAAAAGGATGCACTTTTCTCAAGGCTTCTCTGCCAATAGAAGGACAGTGGTAAGACAGTTCGTGCTGAGTAAAAAACAAAACATGGAGTGAATCACAGAAGAGTTGAGAGAGATCTGGAAACCATCTAGGCCTGCGCTGTGCTCAGAGCAGGGTCAGCTGAATCAGGTTGCTCAGTGCATGTCCAGTTGGGTTTTAACAATCTCCAGAGATGGAGAGTCTGCAACCTTTACGGGCAGCCTGTTGCAGTGTTTGACTACTCTCAGAGTAAAAGGATTTTTCTTATGTTTTCTTACGTTTAAGTGTTACATTTTATGTTACGGAAGTTATAAAACCTGAGTTCCTTAAATTTAGAGGTAAGGCCAGGCTGTATAATAAACATATATAGCCATATAACTGCCTAACGAAGTCCCACTAAACTAATTGCTGCAACTCCACTAGTCAGTGCAAGGCAGGTGCTTGGACAGTCTCTGAGAGGAGACATGTCTCTATCATGAACTGCAGACTGCATCTAGATGACTGTGGGCCACTTGTTTTACTCCTAGGTTCCAAGACATTCATAAATCCACCTGTAATGACTGAGATGGTCTTTGATATTTAATTTTATGTAAAAAAAAAGCCTACTCACTTAGGTGCATCTATAGTGGGAGTCCTATATTGTGATTATCCTACACAAGGTCTTCCCAGCCACTTTGTGCAGCAGGCTCTGTCCATCCCAGCAGTTTCTACCTCATCCTGAAGGCTTCTCACAAGCTTAACCCTGTTGTGTGTGTCTCAGGGAAGGGCACTTTCCCTCTCTTTCCAGAATTTTCCTGGGAGAACCAGGTCACAAGGTAGTCTTCCTCTCTGCTTTCCCAGCATAGCCTTCAATCAAAATATGCCTTAAACTCAGAACATATCCAACATAGACAAATACATGAATAAGTTCTAAAACACTATACGTTAAAAAATCTTCTGTATTTTATCTCAATTATAGGAATATCCAAGGAAGGGGAATAGCAACTCCTGCTTCTCTGCTGGCTTTCGCAAAATTTCCTGAACAAGAGAGTCAAGATATTTCCCAAGCAGCTGAACGAATGGAAATGTCAGTTCAAGTGCTGAAACAAAGAGTTTGCCGGAAGCACAAACGTTCATTGCATTCAACTGGTAAATATACTATGTTGACATTGACAAAACCCCCTGTTGATGTCTTGAATGTTGTATCTTAGATTAAAGCTGGCTTAACTCCACTTTCATTTTGCTTTAGGCAGGAGTATGTATTTTGTCCTCACCCTGGGGCCAGGATGCCCTCTCTTTTGTTCTTAAAAGCACCTTACATAGTCACTATTTTACATTTTTCTCTGCTGAAATGTGGGCTGTGTCTCTACAGTTGGGGAGAGCAGCACTTTGCTATTGGCATCCTGTGAACTCATGACTGTGTATTTGTATTGCCTATAAATCAGCTTGCACATCAGCAGCGTTGCAAGCTTCTTGTTCACAATGAAATATCTATCTTCCCCAGCACTGCAAGTTTAGTGCTTCTGAGGCCTAGAGTCGACAGATAAAGTAATACAATTTCTATCACTCTATGGCACTGGCTTTTAAAAATACACTTCCTCTGGACATTGAAGGACTTATTAATATCCCTATTCTGAGAAAATAATTTCTTATTTCCAAGACTGATTTATAATGCATAGCTCTTCTACATTTATTTCCACTTGTTTTGTATTTTAACTGTTTTCTGTGTCAGATGGAGGAAGAAAGAGTCTAGAAAGTTCCTTGATGTATAATTGTCTAAGTAAAGTAAAATTCTTCTTGCTATTAATTCAAGATTAATTTCAAGAAGACTGGTGTCTGGAAGACTCAAAAACTCAGAAACATTGACTTTTTTCCCCCCATAATTTAATTCTGTCACTTAGAGCAGCATGAACTGGAGAATTATAACTTGTGTTCTCTGTCTTAGTATCCTGTGACAATGTTTTTCAAAATACGGAAGCGTTTGAGTGCTGTAGACAAACATAAAGGTCTACAGTTATCTTTTATTTTTTCCTTGAGGAAAAATACAGCTTGCTAAACTAACAGGACATTTATAGAGCTAAAAATATATCTATGTGTCTGTGTGTGCATATATTTATATATACACAGTCACTCACACCCAGAGATACAATTATTTTTCTGCTGATGCAGTTTCAAGAGAAATAAAATTTCTGAATTGTAGAACAAGTGCACAAAACTGTTGTTAACTTTCAAAATTGAAGGAACTTTAATGGAAGATGAATAGATGCTATACAGTCTATGTGCCATAACAAAGAGTAGTTTTATGTGAAGTAAAGAACAACTAAATTGACTTTAAAGAAAACATGAACATTCTGTGATTCTGTGATTCTATGCGAGTCAATACCTAGGCAACACGGATAACTGAGAAACTAGGCTTTGAGCATAATTTTGAACCTGAACTAACATGGAAATACAGCTGTATCCACAACTTTGGCATAAGTAGCTAGTAAGTAATGATGAGGTTGCACAGCCAGTCTAACAGCCAATCATGTCTCTCTTCTCACCCCTACCTTGCACAGGTTCTAGCTGCTCAGCAGAACATTGCTTGAGCTGATTTGGCTTTTGAACCTTTGCTGTTTGTTTTTCTGGCTTACTCTTTTAGCTTGATTAATGGACTAAAGCAGCTTAGTGCAGAGCTGGATGGGCAGAATGGATAGGCGGTGGAACTACGTGACCTACAGTAGCCAGTGGGCAGCAAGTCTCGGGCAGGCATTGCGGCACACGCACCAGTGTAAAAGATGACTTCTAGGAAGAAAGTGTTGCTGAAAGTCATCATGCCTGGAGACTCTGGGGTGGGAAAGACATCACTCATGAACCAGTATGGGAAGACAAGGGCAAGAGTTAGATGCTGCCTCTACTATTTTCTTTGAGCATGTGATGGTTACAGTCAGCATGAATGGTGAGAGTTCTCTGAGTTCAGGAAGGATATTGCTCCTCCTTCATGGGTACTTCTACCTCCAACCTCCAACCATACACGTGTTTACATAAATGCGTGGGTGACAGTGTGCCAGCTCTCTGGAGCTTATGCAACAACATGACTTTGTACCTCGTCAGCAGAATGCTCACTCAGAGACCTGTCTGTGATCGTATTACAAAGATATTAAGAACACTTTTTCTACTGGTATGCAGCTCCCTGAATTTACCTAGCTTTCAAATTCCAGCTCATAATTTTGAGCCTCTTCCACTCCACACATAATTATATACTTAGCTGTAGCGTCTTTAAATTTCTGCATCTTTCCAGTCCCAAATTTTTCCTCCTTGGTATATACTTCTCTTCTTGAATGGCATTTTTTACACCTTTCTTGTAAGCACAGGGATCAGCCAAGCAATGTGACTACAATGCAGGGGAAGAAGGAAGCAGAGAGAAGTTTAAAGAAGGAGAAAAAGAAGAAGGTCAATCTCAGTTCTCAGCTGTGGCTGGACTAATTCCTTTTCATTCTCTAGGTATCAGATAATAAAACCAGCTATTTCCTTTCACCCTCTATCTCCTCTAAGTCCCTGAAACTGTCTCCTGGAGCACTTCTAACTAAGTGCGCTTTCCTAGGAAGAAGAGAGGCGATGCTGTAGGTGTAGCTGACATTAATGCCTTTTCTCCTGTAGCAGCTATATAGCAATAGAGCAAATTGCTTGTTTGGGTTCTTCCTTTCAGAGAGTTTATCAGCTGATCTGCTCACTATGGTTGCTAATATTTCTGGATGTCTGCCTTATATGTTGCCACCAAAATGTCCAAACACATGCTTCACAAATAAATATCGACTCATCACTGGTGCCTGCAATAACAGGTATGTATGTTGAGAACTGGGCCCTAAAAATCCTTCTTTTTTATTCTTAAAACTCGAGAAGCTATGTTTACTTTATCCTAGAAAAAGTGAAGGGGCTGACCTCAATCAGCTAACTTTGGCATCAATGTGTGTTTAAATGAGGTGCCTCTGAAAGTCCCCAGGGAAAGAATCTCTTCATCTAAACTTTGGCACACTAATTTTTGCAGACGGGCTCTCCCTATGAAGGCTTCAAAGATTACGTAAGGAACTTTAAATTTAGGGGGGAGAATGATTCAGTAGATGCCTTTTTCTGTACAAATTAAACAGAGTGAATTCCAACCCAGCATTCATTTTTTATTTAATTGGGTAAAATCATAGTTAGCAGGAAAATATAATTACTTCATAAGGGGCAACAAGAAAATCAAGTAGATTCTCATGTTTGTATTTTCCCAAAACCTTAGAATTTAGCAAGCATGCATCTAAAAATTCTGAGTGATATATTTACTTTTATATATCTGTTTATATAAATATATGCTTATTGGCTATCTAAATGACTATTTAGTATTATCTACTTGTTACCTAATATATCATAGAAACATAGAATCATAGAATCATAGGTTGGAAAAGACCTCTAAGATCATCAAGGCCAACCATACACCCAACACCACCATTCCTACTAAACCATACCCTGAAATGCCACATCCACACATTTTTTAAACACCTCCAGGGATGGAGACTCCACCACTTCCCTGGGAAGCCTATTCTGTCTGACCACTCTTTCAGTAGAGAAATTTTTCCTGGTATCTAATCTAAAACTCCCCTGATGCAACTTGAGGCCATTGCCTCTTGTCCTATTAGTAGTTACTTGGGAGAAGAGACCAACACCCGCCTCACTACAGCCTCCCCTCAGGTAGTTGTAGAGAGCAATAAGGTCCCCCCTCAGCCTCCTCTTCTCCAGGCTAAACAGCCCCAGCTCCTACGGTCACTCCTCCTAAGACTTCTTCTCTAGACCCCTCACCAGCCTCGTTGCCCTTCTGTGGACAAACTTCAGCAAGGTCTTTTTCTGGTGGGCAGCTTTCCAGCCACTCCTCCCCAAGCCTGTAGCATTGCATGGGGTTGTTGTGACCCAAGTGCAGGACTCAGCACTTGGACTTGTTGAACCTCATACAGTTGGCCTCAGCCCATCAATCCAGCCTGTCCAGATCCCTCTGCAGAGCCTTCCTACCCTTAAGCAGATCGACACTCCCACCCAGCTTGGTGTCATTTGCAAACCTACTGAGGGAACATGCGATCCCCTCATCCAGGTCATTGATAAAGATATTAAAGAAGACTGGCCCCAAAACTGAGCCCTGGGGAACACCACTCATGACTGGCCGCCAGCTAGATTTAACTCCATTCACCACCACTCTCTGCTCCCGGCCATTTAGCCAGTTCTTTATCCAGTGAAGAGTACACCCACCCAAACCATGGGCAGCTAGTTTCTCCAGGAGGATGCTGTGGGGAACAGTGTCAAAGGCCTTACTAAAGTCCAGGTAGACGACATCCACAGCCTTACCTTCATCCACTAGGCGGGTCACCTGGTCATAGAAAGAGATCAGGTTGGTCAAGCAGGATATGTGGCAATTGTTTCCTGCAAAACACAACAGATGTAATTGTATTTTCAGAATCCTCCAATACCATGAGGGTGTAAAACTGAGAATGAGAGCCATTTTGAGTACAAGGGTAACATATATTTATACTCAGCAGCCTTTAGACACATACGTGTAAGGTGACAAACTGAAAGGCAGACTGTAGTGTTGTAAGTGAAGGGCAACAGGCTAGGAAGGCCATTAGCATTGCACAGGTTAAGGCACTCTGCAACGTGGTGGATGAACAGCAGCACAATTCTGCAGTTTTATTATTCAGTCAGTCTGGTTTTATGAGATGAATCTGTTTTGCTACCTCGCAAGTCATTTGCAAGGACCATGCCTGATAGGCTCTTCGTTGAAAGGACACAACCTGATATGCATCGATGTTATAAATCTAGCTATGTGGATATCCATAGTTTCCCCCAGGCACTTCCAGAGTTGCTTGGAATCTGAATGAACAGCTAGTATAATATTTGCACTGACAGCTCCATCAGGGCTTGAACACACAGGCCAAGATTCATGCAGCTGAACATAGGCACATGGCTGAAGCTCTTAATTTGTGGGCATGGCTGCTGTAGTCTTTCTCTCCAGAGACAGAGAGAAATTTACTCTGCTGTGGGTAAGGTAAAACATCTTTTTCTCTTCAGCGACTGGTAATACTAGGAAGTGTATAGACATTTCAGCCTGGTTTCTAAAGCTGGGTAGGGTAAATATGCTACATTGAGTCTGGTTAGTCTGTAGTCACCATGTTCTATTTTTTGCAGTTTTATGTTTGTGCCAAATCAGTGCTGAAACCTATCACTCATATTTGGTGGTATTTTGGACTCTTTGCTCTAAACAACTGTAAAAGGTGCAAGGTAGAAAAAAAAAATAAATAAAGACTTTGAAACCAACAAGTCAGATCTTAACTTAGTCTAAAACCTTGTGAGCACCTTGAAATACCTCAAGCTTTACTGAAATACATCAGCTTAAAAAACTCATTATACTATAACATAAACAACATACTCTACGATGTAAGCTAGCTTCAAAGACTGAAAACACTAAACGAAGTACCAGTCTGAGTCTGTACTTTTCTTTGCTTTACAGTTGCCACTTTCAGGCAGAAAATATATCAGGACCTAGGTTGTATTTGTAATTTTAGTCACCCAGTAGGAATGCACAGCTATGCTGTAGAGCAGTAAATGCTGTATTCCATTGGTGAAATTTAAAAGTAAAATTCACAGTGGTGTTAGTTGTTCACCTATGAGAAAAAACTATTTAAAAATGAGTATGGAATTTCTTTACAGATGCTTTACTTAATCAGTTCACAATTTTGGGACAGATCAGACAGATTACAAAGTGCTTATTGCACCGCACTGACTTTGCTTTGTATTTTTGTGAACTTGCTAGAAAAAAGATGTAACAGAATAGCGTAAACATGGCCTTCTGTGGAGAATATCAACATCACATCAGACATTCCCAGCAGTGTCATTGTCCACATTTGCTAGTAACAGATACCAACAGACTTTGCTTTTCTTTCTGCCTGAAGGCATATATCTGGATGATAAGCAAAATAGATTTATAACATTTTTAAAGGAAGAATAAAGGAGAGAAGGCACGTCCAAACAACTATTTTTTACTTATTTTTTATCCCAACTGACTAGCATTGATCTGTGTAGATTTTAGTGTCTAGAGCAATGAGAGGGATTCAAAGGTGAAGGAATTACATGTACTAGAGGAATGGAATCTCATAGTGCAATTACCCTCACCTAATCTTAGCTTGCGGAGGTAGTTATATGCCTACTGCAAGGCTGCAGTTTTGGCTGTTCCTAATAGTGAGAGATAGGATGGGATGGCACCCAGGAGTTGTCTGTGTCTCTGGCTTGGTGGACAGGTGCACCCAGGAGTTGTCTGTGTCTCTGGCTTGGTGGACAGGTGCTTAGATGAGTACATTACATTTTGCATGCTTAATATTAGGGCAGCTAGGAGAAATTCTATCTGCAGCATTTCTACTTCATTGCTGTGTCATTAACGATGTCATCAAGTAAGGACCTGATGCTCAGTCTGAAGCTCTAATACCGTCAGAGTTAGGGGTATGAATATGGTTCTCATAGTGGAAAGAATGAACAGTCCTGACTGAATCCATTGACTATAAGCAGGAATTGAGATGTTTCCTTTAGGACAGCTGCTTCACTTCAATACAAGCTAAGTGTTCAGTTTCATGGCAGGCTTATTTTTCAGTTTTCCATGTTTGCGAGAAGTTATGTCCTTGGTAGCTCAAAGCAATGTAAAACATGACAAAATCCAATTATTAAATTGCCATATGGCATTCATTCTTTCTACTGGCAACTAGGCAGGACATTAAAATAACATTCAAAAGACATGAAACTGGATAGTGAACTGCATCTGAAAACTCCAGGTTCCTGCTAAGGGACCTAAAACAAAATCCAAACTGTGCAATTCCAGTATTTCACGAGTGAATGAGAAGTCCCATTTCCCATAAACAGAATGTAATCAAACCTGACTACTCTATAAAGCTGCGTGGCACCGAAATCTCATTATTTCAGCTGTCATGGATAAAAACGTTTTTAACTTAAGCAAGATTCCAAGACATTACTATGTTTAATGTAATAATAAAAAGGCATGTGAGAAGGGTTTTACTAAAGTAGCATTCCAGTGAACTGCTAAAACATAAAAGCAATCAGGAGAGAAGTCACTGATTAAGCAGTTAAATTAACATTTCATTATTTTTAATTGAGTGAAATAGCACTACACTATGTGCAGTATTTTATGCAGTTTCAATAAAGGCAAATCAACTGTAACTAATTTGAATGCTTTATTAGAGCATACTTCAACCTTCAAGTGTGAATTATTGTGGATAATTAAGTGTATTACTATACCATATAGCTTTGCAAATTGAGCCACTTCAGTTTGTCGGAGATCATTGAAGTATTAATAAAATAATTACTCCCTCTTTAGCATCCCAGTAGACATATAAATGTATGTTTTAACACTGTGTAGCTCTATTAACTGTCTGGGAATATTTCTGGTTCTTTGTGGCTTGCTTTACAATTTTGGTCAACTGATTATATTGCAAAAATTTTATTTCTTCTTTTTAGTGTCTATATATATTTAGCAATTATGAAATATATTGAACAGGTCATGTTAAGGAACCCCTAAAATATACCTTTACGAAAAATGCATAAAAAATATTCATGAAAGAAGGAAAATTAATTGGGTCAAGCCCAAGACTCACTGACTATATTAGTAAATAGAAATCACCAGGAATAATTTCCTGGCCCTCAAATCAAGTATGACCTAACTCTTGCCACCCTTTTACTTTTAGACTTCAGTCTAAACATTTTTACTCCCCTTGCCTCTTCCGAGCAGGCTGCCTGCAGGATGGCAACCTGGCATACAAAGATGCCAAGCTGAGCCCAGACAGGTGTCATTCAGAGAAATGCTAGATGGCATGAGCCAAAACCACACTGTGGTTAGTGTTAGCAACTTCAAAGCATAGTTAAATGCATACTGGTGCTTGGGCTTGTGCATAGGCCCTCCCAAATCTGTACCCATATAATTAGTACAGATGCAACCAGAGAGAGCATGGCCACTGAATTCACCAACTTCAGCCATCATTTCCCTTTCCTCAGTCCTTGGGTCTTGCTAAATGATTACTTCTGCATGACTAGTATCCATTTTTTCTTTTAAGCTTTCTTCAACTTTGTTCTAGGGCTTCTTTATATTTTTCTAAATCTTGATTTTGTAGCTATTACTCTAAACAAACACCTGTTAAAAAATGCCAGCAAAGGCACTTAGTAGTATTTCTGACTTTATGGGGAACGAGGACACTATCAGGAAATCACCATCCAGGCAAGTATTTCAAAGACGTCAAAACATAACCAACTTACACTATAAATATAAAAAAGAACGTAATATTTCATTAGTAATTTAACGTTTCTTCATTCTCCTTTTGAGTCAAACTGATGTTGGCGTACATGAAGACCGATATTTGATATTTTTCAAAGATCGTTACATGAACATCTTACTGCAATGGAATATTCCTCTGTGACTGATGATTATTTTATATTATTTTATTTTGAGACATAGCCTTGGCCAGGTGGCTTCCACCAGTCTATGAAGATGGATTCAGCCAACCTCGAGGATGGGATCCCAGCATCCGATACAATGGAGTCCAGCTACCCTTGGTTAGAAAGTGCACTGTGAGATCACCTGAAACACTTACACTGGGCTATAACCATACCTGTCACCACAGACCTCCATTTGCATTAGTAAATCAAATAGCAAAGGAATCTGTTGAGTTCCGTTAAGAAGCCACTAGCTTTGCTAAAGCATAAGTTCAGTCAGCCAAATAGTGAGAGGTCCTCTGCACCTGGGCTGGGGCAATCCCATGGGGCAGTGCAGGAAGGCACTGACTGCATTGGGGGTCAGCTCTGCTGAGAAGGACGGTGGTGGAGAGCAGACAGGGCATGAGCCAGCCACGTGCCTGGCCTGGCTTGCACCAGACATGGGGTAGCCAGCAGACCTGGAGTGATGATTGCTTAGCCTAGAGAAAAGGAGCTGCAGGGTGGACCTAATTGCAGCTGAACAGGCAGTTACAGAGAAGAGGGAGGTCTTCACAAGGATGCACACTGACATGGCAAGGGGCAATGGTCACAAGTTGCTCCAGGGGAAATTTTGTCTTCATACAAAAAAAAAAAAAAATTGTTGAGAAAACAATTGAATGTTGGAATAGGCTACCTAGACAACTGCTGGAATATCTGTCATGGGAAATACCCAAGATCTGGCACGATGGGATTCCAAATAACTTGAACCCTGCTTTCAATAGAAAGCTGCACCATGTGGTCTCCAGAGTTTCCTTCCAGCCTAGACTTTCCAGTGATTTCATGATTCTTTGTTTCAATAATGGTGCCTTTATTCAGAGAAAAAGGAGTGGGAAACCATAGTTGGGTGTTAACTAAATAAGTATAAAACACGTAGATGTGCTAGCATGTGTATGTGTGTATGCATGTATACCATTTCTCCTAGGTTAGTGTACCTTAACTGAGCAAGTATTACTGTCAAATCAGAACTTCATTTTTTAGCTAGTTCAAGTTACTGAGCAAAGTAGGCATTACAATATTTATGGATTTTAGCAGCTCATATACTTTAAAAATAGCAGAGCTGCTCTAGAGAGAAGTTTGAACAAAATATATTTGAGTAGAGGACTGGGTGAAAAATTCCCCAGTGCAGTGTGCAGTGATTTGGGCTGGATTTACTGTTTCTGGTTTGTCATCATTGCTTTGAAACCTGACTTTTAGTGGACTCAAAGTCTTGTTATTTTAACCACTGTATGTTTAATAAGGATGAGCAAGAGAATTTAGTGTTAATGTCACCTGCAACTCATGTTATTAATTAAATAACATCGTCTCTAAGCTGCACAATTTAGCACTTAAGGATGAAAACCTGACATTTACACAGGTAAATTTCCAGTAGATGGTACAAACTGCCTTTTTCTAGATTTATTAGGGTACGTACTTGTGTAGTAAAACACACTAAAACAAAACTACATGAGTGCATCAAATCTGACCATATCCAACCATCAGCAAAGTTCTCTGCTTTATTTTGAAGTAAGATAGGATAAAACTAGTGCATGGATGTTTTTCCTTATTTACATAATTGTCTTTTCTCGTACTTCTAGCTATCCGACTATACCCTTTAAAAAGCAAAACGAAAATAATGTGAAGGTAGGAGATAAGCATGAGGATTACTATAGAGCAATATTAGAACACAGCATAGCTGTGCAATCTAACAGTGGTAAGAAAATCTTACTAACTGCAAGAAAAGAAGTTTGTGCTTTGTGGCCGACAAAGCTACTAGAATACTGATATAAAGATTCGTATTCCTGATCAGCTCTATGTATCTCTGCTCTTGACTATTTCAGTATAAAGCCTGATGTTCCTAACAAGTCCCATGCTGCCTCTTGTCCTTACGAATTCTGTTTAACTGCACCTTGCTTACACATTCACTATATAGCTCTGTATTTGTTACAGACTCTGTGACTCAGTTTTATGTGCTGCCCTTTCAATCTCTTGACTTCCAAGGCAGCTGCTGCATGTGAGGGAGTGTTTTGCAGCATGAGGGAGGAATTTGTGAATAATAATGATACCCTAATCATCACAAATTGACTGCTGATTTTGCTCTGATTGTTTTACTTGGTTATTGGTATAGGCTGGACATGTAGCATAAATGTCCACATGTGTTCCCCCTCAGAGCATACGCATCTTTATGCTGCTTTCACAGAAGTGTCCCAGAAATATGTTTTGCCTTCTTCCTGCCTGGGAAAATGAACCAGAGCTTTCAGTTACCATATATTTGCAACTTAACTTGTCTCCTGGGCTGCATAACCTGCTCTATTTATATATGGAGCAGCCCAAAGCCTCTGTGTGTCCACAGTGATTTGAGGTTGCCCAGCAAACAGAATCCATTTGTTAAAGCAGCAGCAAACAGAATAAATAGAATGAAAGCTTTAGACAGTCTAAAAGTAACATGTGGTTTTCAAAATTCTCTGGAAAGGAACAGATCAAAGATACACTGCTCATTTGGCAAATATATAGAAAACCTAGCCTGAAACATCTGAATATCTTTGTGGCACCAGTATGTCAGCTCCTGAACAGATATGAGTCTGTCAGAGGTTGGGTTTTTGGTTGTTATTGGGTTTTTTTTTGGTTTTGTATTAGGCAAACCATTAAAAGTACTCTACAACGTAAAGTATTCTGAGAGGAAAAATAAAGCTAGCTTTTATCACTGTTCCCCCTACTTTTTAGTGTTTTATCGTTTTGTGAGAAGTAAATACTCCTTGGCACTCAAGGTAAATTAGTTCTCTTCCCAGGTTCGTGAAGTGACAAGAAAGATTATTCATGCATCTAACGAGGCTGTTACTGAAGACAACCTGTATTCTGATATTATTATGGTATGGGGACAGTACATAGACCATGACATTGCATTCACACCCCAGAGCACAAGTAGGACCAGCTTCCTAAATGGAAAGGAGTGCCAGATATCATGTGAAAAACAAAATCCATGTTTTCCAATACAGGTAAGATTCTAATTCCTCCAACAGAAATTCCAGGCTCTAAACCGGTGAGTAAAGTAAAACACATTAGTGATACATATACACGGAAATATTTATAAAGCAAATAGATAGATCACCTAGAAATATTAGAGCAGACAGTGACAGAAAAATTGATACCCAGGGCAACTATTAAATGAAACAGATATTTCTAAATTATTTTATACAGATAACAAACTATAGCTAAGGTACTTAGTACAAATACCAAAGTTTTCTACCTTTCAGGTTTATGTTGCAGGAAACCTTAGCAGTCCCCCTCAGTGTTATTGTTCTCATGCTTCAAGGTTTTGAGTTCCATTGGGGAAAATAGGGGAGTAGTCATAAATAATTCTTTTCCTAAATTGCCAGCCAGATAAAGTGAAAGGTTCTTAACTTTACTCAGAGAAAGCAAAGATATTTCCAGCCGCTAACGCAAACTTTTGAAGAGAGCTATCTTTTCAATGTACGTATAAAATGATCTTCAGAGAGTTGCTGATACTTATGTACATCACCTCTTGGCTTTGAGTAGATGGAAAACATGAATTCAAAGCTTGTTAGATGGTTAGAAGAAACATAAATTGATATAAATACAGGATCCTGTATCCTTGTCCTATTAACTATAAGTATAGTCATTCTTTCACTCAAAAAAATAAGTAGCAAAGTGAAACCACTTTTTTGTTTCTCAGAGTGCAGCATGTCCTTCTCATGCTACAGGAGAGCCCCATGCCCGTTACAGCCCTTGGACTGATGCCCCCATCTCTATGCAGAGCAACGTAAATTACTTTCCTTAGGGTTGGAGCTTGAATACTGACCAGCTTATCTATGCACTGAAACCAGTGTATGGAAAAACTTCTATCAGCATATAAAACTCTTTTCCCCTCAAGAAACCATAACTGATAACTATGCCACAGTCTCCTTTTGCCTTACATGCCTCATTCCACTTCCACTAAACATAAAGGAAAATATCCACCTAACTGTAATGAGAACCAAATCAGGTCCTATGTTGAAAGATGACTCATCTTCCGTTTGGTGAGATAATCTAAAACACAGGGAAGACTAAGTGAAATTCATGACTCTCTGCAATTTTACCACAGGCAGCTAAGTATAGTATCTCTCAGGAGATGCAGACTTTTGAAAGTTTGCAAGTATAGCTTGAGAGCATTCAGAAAGAGTCCAGGCTTCTCTGTACATGGGGTGACTGGCTAACCTGGTTTAGCCACAACAGCCCTGATTACAATGAGTCTTCCATAGTTCTGATGAAAATGTCTAGTTTACTATGTCTCAAATTTCTCATCCACTATAAGAAACAATGTGGCTATGCATTAACTCCCATTTTAAAAACGTCAGTTTGCTGCACATATAAAACTGCAAAAGTCTTCAAAAGCTTGTATTTTTGTGTATTTTAACATATTCTTTGAAGCAGCTCAATTGGTATTGATCTGTAAGTGCAAAAAACCCCACATTTTTTGAATTACTAAATATATTTTTAAATTGAGAAGAGACTCACACTGTTGCCCATAACTGGAATAAAATGTGGATCACAGGGACTATAGTAGTCTAATCACTGAACACTGACTGGTTCAAGCCTGGAAATCCCACCTCCTTAAAAAAGAGGCAATTTAAGGAGTCTTCAAAAAAGGACTCCAAGGCTAACATTATTCATGTGGTAGCGGCATTACAGTACAGAAAGAAGTTGCACAGATCACCACAGCATTGACCCACAAGTACATCCTTCAGTGCTCCAAACGAGGGACATATTTCAGATTTCTGTCTTAGACCTGCAAAGAGACTCATCAAAGAGCATGTTTCAAGGATGCTCTTGAAGGCGAGTTATGTGTACATGCACGATATCTAGCACTGAATGTAGCCTGGGAGCTACTCGTGCCTACAGTGTAGCCTAGCAGGGGCTTGGCACACCCACGGCTACCTTTGGGAGCTTAGTGTCCAATACTCAGAATGGCCATGGCAAGAGGGCATATGAGGAAACTCAGACACAACCCTGTAAGTATTAGATAAGTTTCCCAATTTGTTGATTCATTACATGATCACAATCCCATGAATTTCTCAGCTCCATTTTATTATTATTCTGTAATTCACAGCGTGGAGGGACAGGTATGAATATGGTTGTTCTTTTGTTTTTATGATATGTCTAGTATTTTGTGACAGTTTTTGTCAAAGGCAAAGAATAGACACTGTATTTAAAAAAAAAACCAAAAAAATAAAGGAGGGGAGGTTGTTGTTATTAGTGTGACCAGAGCAACTATTTTTTGAACACTGAAAAAAAATTCTATTACCCCCTAGAACTGATTTCTTCCTGAAATCTTAATTAAAACTAATCTCCATCTATTAGATATTTGGAAAACTGCCACTGTTTTGTATGCTCATTCTTTACATGAAGAAACCGTGGCTGGTTTCTAAAGACAGTGAAATCAATAGCATATTGTCCAACAGTGTAAACACAGAGGCTGCAGTTTGCAGTCTTGCTGTGTTCCTGGAACAGTGGCACCCAAGGGAGAATCCACCCACAGAAAAGGACTGCCGTGCTTGCAGCTGCACGTCTTCTCTGGGGCTTTCACCAGGGAGAGGAAGCTCCTGACTCTGCAGGTTAGGGAAGCTGTCTGGAAAAGAGTCTGAGTCAGTGCAATTCAATGAAGTATTGAATGTTGCGGTAGTGCATTAATATTAATAACAAGTGTAGGTAAATGATTCATAGTTTAGCAGGAACCATGATGATTTTCTATTTTGGACATTTTCATAATAAACCCAGTGATTCTAAATCGAGCTTGTAGCTTCTGGTAGAGCCTGAACATTCATTTTCTGTATCTTTTCGGAATCCTGTAATGTGAAAAGAAATAATGAAAAAATCACGAGCTTTAGTTTATACTTCTTTTACAGCAGCCTGACACATGAAACAGGGTTGCAGAGATAACCTGTCATTCCTCAGATAATTATTTCAAGTTAGGGCAAAGACATAATGGGGTATTAGAAAAACTCGTAGGAGAGCTACTGACTTTGTTCAGCATTAATTACATTGCTGACAAGAAGTTAGACGTGGTGCATATACATGGTAAGATACAGTCCTGAAAATCTTTCAGACAGTTAGTTCAGATACAAAAAGGTGGAAAAGAAACAGAGCCACAGAAAAGTGAGGTGATTTGCAGAAGGTGACATGTAACATGGCAGGTTACTGTCTCAGCTACAAATGGATCAGTCAGTGTGTGCTCAGCAACCAGCAAAGTGAGCCCCTGCATTTTTCTGCTGTGTTTCAGAGGCAGCAGCTCACTGTCAGATGGAGCCTCAGAATTTCATGTCCACAAATCAACATTCATGTTTTCCTTACTGGCAAATTTTCGTAGATCGTAACCTAGATTTTCTTTTAAGTCTATAGCAAAAATCTTTTTACAAGGTCGTTTTCCGCAGACCACAGGTCATTTTCTACAGAACGAGTTCACAATGAGAAAGATTTTTTTTTTTTAACTGAAATAACAGTTTAGACATTGTGGTACACCGAAACAATTAGTGTCTTTCATTTTCCTACACATAAAAGAATTTCACCACAAACAGGTTTGACTGTAAATATATAATAATAGTTTAAATCAACATGTGGCTATACTAGGAAAATCATTGCGGCCAGAGAGGGTTTTGTTGTGAGTTTTTCTCCTCCAGAATTGTGCAAGGCAAAAAAAATATTAATATGAATATTATTCATTAGTATTGGAAAAAACTTGATTTTGTCTCCATTTCAGCAGAAAAGGGTCTTCTTTTTTCCCCTCAGATTGTTTTTGATGTCATTTGAATAATAACATAAGGAACCTCTCATTTGCATATTCCTCTGCTGGCTGCACACTACTTACCCCATGAAAAGGGAAAGGACTGCATTATGCAGTGCTGCCAGTCCCTTAATGTTTATTACTGCTGTTTTTCTCCACTGTGGCACAGAATGGTTTGAATTGAAATTGCAGAGGCAGTTAACTAAAGATTATTCAGTATGAACTTCATTCACTACTGGTATGTTTTGTTGTAAGCCTTGCTGTTTAACAACTTAAAAGCGTCTCATACATTTTTTTCCCAGTGATACCTGAATTCTTCCAGATTTTCCTGATAACTACAAGCAGGAGACACTCAAACACATACAATGCTGTGGCTGTCAAGTTCAGATATTTGTAGTATGAGATGAGCTTCCTGCTTACATTACCAGCTGAAATGAAAAACAAGCCACACTAATAGTAAGAGTCTTAATAAGAGAGACAAACACTAAATAGAAAACACAAGGAAGAGAAATTGCTGATTTCAGCAGTCAGTGAAAGAACGAAAAAGGAAAAGGAATTACATATTTCCTTCAAAAATAACTTTGTTTTGCTAAAACCTAGGTAATGAAGGATTATTGGTAGAATTTCTTTACTAAACAAAACTTGAAAAACAAATTAAAACCATTCCGAACTTAAATGCTTTATTCGTGTCAATCACTGCTGACATGAGTCCTCAGTAGCATGAAAATTTTGCTTGTTATAATAAATGAGGTAACGACGTTGTTAAATGAAGCTCTTGAATTCCATTCCAAAGTTGACTTGTTACTTTTACCCTCAAATTAGTGACTATTCTATCTTCACAGACTGATTGCTATATTATTAGAAGAGTGAAGAAGAAATTACATCATTTTCTATAACATCTGCAGTATTCACTGTCTTCTACCAAAGAGTATTGAAAAATGAACTCCAAGCAGATAGAGTACACATAAGAAGGGTTAGCTCAGGTGTCTGTACAAAACATTTATTTTCTCTTAGTCAAATTTTTGGAGATTATATTTTTCTGAGATATTTCAGCAGCTTTAGTAAGTGTTATCTGTGCCTACTTCATGTTAATCAATTGATAAGAACACCCTAGACCTTTATTCCCTGAAACTCATACTCCATGATTGTTATGACTTTTTTAATTGAGGTTAATCTTTTTTAAAATCTTGGAACAGACAGGCTGTTATGACTTACTGTTGATGAACAGTACAGTACTGTTAAAATTTAGAAATAATGTGCTTTTCAGAAAAAGAGAGTTTGTAAATCCAAATCTGCATTAGACAACACAGAGAGATTTTAGTAATTTTTTTGTTTTAGTTTTTGTTTTAGTGATGAACTCTGTTCTTTAAAACAGGCTTGATGATCTGAGCTTTCCTCTTGGATATCCTACAGAATGAATAAAAGTTTCCCCCCTCTTCCTTTCTCTCCTCCTCCAACGTCTCTGCTGCCCTCCCTAAAGATGTTAAGTTATTCATGTACCATTTTCAGTGCTGTCCTGTGAGAAAACTTCTAGCTGTGTGGCTGGGGCTGTATTCTCTCCTAATACTCTTACCTGTACCCCTAGGTGTCATTTGATAATTCCCACATGTCTCTCTCGCACCCTTTACCTGTTTTTTGAATACCTGACTGAGCGACAAGCTGGTTCAGACTCTCCATGCCGACTAGCACACAAATACTGCATCACTGTTTGACCTCAGTCTCTCGACTGTGTGTGGACTGGGAAGTCTTTCATTTGGCAAAGGCTATGTGCAGCCTCTGCTTTTTATAAAGACAGTCAGAAATTAATACTTGTAAGACACCTGTCACTGTAAATTAAGTGGGAAAAAGATTGTGGGGGACAGGCAGAAAGCAGAGTGAATAATTACATATGCCTTTTTTAGTTAGGAAGCTGGATGAAAATGAAGTATCAAAACAAAGCCTTTCCAGCTTGCAGCTGCAGACATTGGAACTCTTCATTACCTTTTTATGCGTACCTGCAAACCTGCTGTTTCATTTGGTGTTCAGTAGAATAGAATTTGACCAGATGTTCACATCTTCACTGTGATACATTTCATAATGAATTTTGATTGTGAAGCAGACTAATTTAGGTATATATCTGTGCAAAAAGGGTTACATCAGCAGCTTGCGTTTATGACAGAGTAAAGGTTTTAGGGGTTTTTTTCTGTCTTTGCTTAAAAATGGTGGAATCACCTTTTTGCTTAAATCTGACAAGAAGGAAAACAATCTCTACAGGCTTAGAATACGTCATTCCAATAGGTGAGATCTGAACAACTGAAAACTGAGGCAGAGAATGGAAATATTTACATAAACCTTAATTCAACATCCACAACTGTCACCTTCACTTCAGAAAATATCTGTGTTTTTTTCTGCGCAGGTGACCAACAATGATACATTATCTGCAGGGATGGATTGTCTGCCCTTCTATCGCTCGTCTCCTGCATGTGGCACTGGTGATCATGGTATTCTCTTTGGGAATCTATCAGCACTAAATCCAAGACAACAGATCAATGGCTTAACTTCTTTCCTTGATGCTTCTACTGTCTATGGCAGTACCCCTGCCACTGAAAACAAGCTGAGGAACTTAACCAGCGAAGAAGGCCTTCTAAAAGTAAACATTAAATACTATGATAACCATCGGGAATATCTGCCTTTCACAGACCGGATCCCATCACCTTGTGCACAGGACTTGAATGCAAGTGGAGATGAGAGGATTGAATGTTTTATGGCTGGGGACAGCCGATCCAGCGAGGTCACGTCTCTGGCAGCTATGCACACGCTGTGGCTGAGAGAGCACAACCGCCTGGCCAGAGCCCTCAAACACATCAACGGCCACTGGACAGCTGAGACAGTCTACCAAGAAGCACGAAAAATTGTTGGTGCTCTGCATCAGGTTGGCTGCTTATTTGCTTACCTACACTTTGCAGTGAATATCTTAGAAAAGAAACAATCACAGAACTTCAAATCTATGAGTGGCTTTGGAGATGATGTTACCCTTTATTTGCCATCTATTTCTGCACTTCAAATTTGGCATGTTTAAAGTCTGTTCTGTTTTCATCTTTCCTGAATGCAATGTCCTTGTCCTTAGTTTGTCCAGACTCCTTAGTGCTCTGATTTTCATGGCTGTTTCATCTTTCTGAGGGCTTCTCCAGTGTCTATTTTGTCTATTGAAGAGGCCTGTTTTTCAGTAAAGGAAATAATTAAGAATTAATGTCTCTGTATTTACATAGAGTTCAAAATGCTTACTTTCTCATAGGAATTCTATAAATGAATAACTTCCCTGTATAAAAATACCTGTGAAGTTCTCAATGGTGCATTAATGCATAAACTTCAAGGGCAACTCAGGAGATAGCAGGAGAAATAAATATGGGAAAATACAAAAGAAAAGAGTTCCTAAGAATGTTTATATTAGACCTGAGAATAGGAAAATCTATTTCTACTCAGTACTTTTCCTTTTTCTCCCCCCTGCCCCCCCCACCCTGAAGGAGCTACGCAGGCTTTAACTTCTTTTTTTTAAACTCCTTTTTTTTCTCACAGTTCCAGTATTCAGTGTGGACAGCTTTGGGTCTTCTAGACCTCAGTGCAACCCTACCATAGGTGAAACAAAATGGAAACATTCAACGGGATTTCTCTTGCACAAAACATAATCTGCTTGCTCACAGTGCTGAAGGCAGTCAAATCTGAATGGCAACAGGACCCGGATAGATTCCTCTAGCGCTAGCCCAATAGATGGGGGGATGTTGTGGCTCCCTGCCCTCAGGTCCAGCCAGTACAAGGCCAGGTACTTACGCCCAGTAGGCATGTACGTCAGTGCACATACACACACGGGGACACACACACGTGCCGCACCTCTACTAGTGCTCACATGAATGTGAATGGCACAGATGTCCTAATCCACGTTCTCTGCAGCTGCTCAGTACTGAAGCCCATTAGTGAGGTAGGCACACAGGCAACGCGGGGCTCTCCCTGATGCCTGCAGAGTGGCTGGCTCCAGAGCTGGTCCAGCTCATGATGCCTGCACCCACAAGTCCCTGAGGTTTGGGGTCCCACTCACTTTCTTTGCAAGTCCTCAAGTTTCTTATGCTTGCTCATCATCTCTGATCTGGCTGGAAACTCACTACTGATCACGCAGGCATGCTCAGAGTATTCCCACAAAGAAGGCAGTTAGAAATAAGATTTCAGAAGAATACAGCTTAAACTGCAGAGATCAAGCACAAGGCTCAGTCAGACGAGCACACTGATTAGCTAACTCTTCACACTCAAATTCCTTTTATTCCTTTTTCCCTCTATTTTCCTATGCTTGTTTCCGCCCCAGTCCACCTTGACCCCTTCCTTTCCCCACCTTTAGTCTTTTCCCTGAATACCGCATAATGTCTCACACATTCCCACAAACCCATAAAACATTGCAAACAAAGTTTTACACCGTCCCCCCAAGTCTTCTCTTCCCTGCACCCCACAATGGGTCTTACCCCTGTTGGAAACCTCCCCTTTAGCTTGCGTGACATTCGGGAGACAGTTTCTTTCGTTGGCTCATCTTGGCGGGTGTCACACCTGGGCTCGGGGTGTGCCCGCTCACTCTGGTGGCCTCGGGGAATGGACGATCCCATGAGCCCCTTTGCAATGGTTTGGTTACTCAGGTTGCTCTACCTGAATTTACTCTTCTGATCTTCACCAGGGCCTTTGCTTTTGTGGACTTTCACCTTTAATCAGCCAGCCTAAGAACAGTGATTTGATCTGTCCATTATAATCCACAATATTGGGTGAGCAATATCAGGACCAGAATGAACTGAGGCTAGGGAACTTTCATATGGAAGATAAATTGGGGAAGGAGGGAGGAAATTCACTATTCTGATAAAACACTTATCCTTTCTTCTGCAACAATTCTTAGTCAGCAGTCTATGTAAGTAACCACCTGCAGTCTCTGGCATGTTGTTATTTGCACTTAAAGCCAGATAATTTCAGAAAAGTAACGTACCTTATTTAATTGTATATAGTCAGTGCTTTTGAAAAGTTTGGCTTTTTTATATACGTATTTTGTTTACATTAACTATATCAGCTCCTCTGTTGTAAATGTGCTGTTTGCATTAAAATAATGTCCCCGACAAGTCAGAATTGTTGTAAACGCTTGTTAGAAGAAAAGTGCAAATCCAAAAGAAGGCCTCTGTGCGTTCATAGACTCCTGATTTAAGTTACACTATGGCCTGACAGAAAACAGTTTGTGCAAGACACTGCATGAATCTGGGCTACTCATTATCCCTACCAGTATCACAGACTAATGAGATTTGCCTATGGCTCATTAGAAATGTGTTTGAGTTCTACCTAGCTGGTTTAGAGACATTCATTCAAGAGAGATAATTGGAGTATCTCTATTAATGTGATATGCTAACCAACACACTAATGACAGCTCCAGTTGAAGTTGCCTAAAGATTTCCTCTCAAAAATGTAGTTTCAGTCACTACACATTTCTAAAATTCCTTATTTTTGTAACGAATACTTTCAAGCATAATTTTTACCTGTGGGTATTTAATTATAGTGAATTGAACAAAAAGCCTTCCCTTCCTTCTAGAATAAGGAGAATGAAAAAAATCTCTCTCTAGACCATTCTTTTCCTCCTAGACGCTTTTTTTGGCAGCATAAATATCTGTAGTGACAAGCATTTAATTTGACAAAGTTGCCAAACATAGCAGCTGCCTGTTGGTATCCAGAACAAAGCTGATTTTTTTCATTGCACTGCAGGTATGTTTCACTGAGAAGTAGCACTTTACATGAGCCACAACAGCGGTTAATTCTTCCCTTGTGTTTTATGGAAATGACACATGCTTAACTGTAACGTATTAACGCTGCAGTATACAGTGGTAAAAATACATACCCTGATTTACCTAGTGTTTTGTGCAAAAAGACATTTCTTCATTGCCATTTACTAACTGAAATTAAACCTTCTTGTTTTGCATATTCCTGTTTTGACCTGACAAAACAGAATAAGGAGAATTAGGATTCCTCCTTTTAAGCAATTTGAAAGAAACTAGCTTAAATTTGTTTTCCTTTAAACAAAAAGAGTAAACAAAACAGGAAAAAAATGCTCTGTTATGCGACTGCTACAGTCTTGACATTGCTATTTCGTATGTATGTGGTTTGCAGCCTGCAACTGCGTGCACATGTGTTGTTGTTCCCAGAAACTGATTCTCCTGATGTGTCATTTGGATTGTGAAAGCTGGATGATTCGGCACTAGTCAGAGTTTTGCAGATCAATCTGAATCAAATTCTCTTTGATTTATTGCAGTATCAGAGAACCATCTCTGAATTAATGGTGATAGTGCCAGTTTATCCCAACTGTAGTTGGTAACTGCCTTTAGTTTTCAGTGTGTATTTTCACTTCCTTCTACATCTTCTGTTCTTTGACCATCTTGCACCCCTGCTTCTCTGCCATGATCTGAGGCATGGGTTGAAAGTGGGTATCTTCTGAGGCTGACATGCTGTTACTTAACTACAATTATTGGGCTCAACATGGCTAACTTGGATGAAACTTATTTGCAGATTTAGATGGTCAGATAATGCCTCTCAGAGCTTAAACTCTGTGAAATTATATATAGATAAATAATAGATGTTATAAAAAAGCAGGAGTTGCACACACTGTCATAACTCATGTTTATAAAGAGTATAGTTCAGACTATTAATGGAACTATAATCATGTGTTCATTATTTATTAAAATTTGAACTATCATACAATCACCCTTTACAGAGAAGTTTAGGACTTCGACATCATCTATAAATCTTTTCATATGTACAGTGAGAACTTAAACCAACTATGCATAGCACTTTAATAAATTAAACATCATGTCTGTGTAGTATTTCTGCAATATTTCCCAAGTGCAGGAGCTTCATTTAATTGGCTTTTCACTGGCTTAGTGAGATACAATTCCTTTGCAGTTACCTCTGGCCAATAGCAAAGACAATTTGTAGTTTTTGCCTTACTTGTTCGTATGGTAGTTCATATATTTTTATATTCTCTTTTCCAGCCTTTATTTTATTTTCCTTTTCCATCCATTGTGCCCCATTCACAGCTTCTTTGGAAAATACTAGAGGGGTTTTGGCAAGGAAAGTCCGCTGAACCTTATGAGAAATATTATGAATTTCTGTATTTTTTGCACCTAATTTGAAATAACTTTTAACATGAACAAAAAATTCTCAGAAATAATCTGAAATTATGTAACCTATTTCCAAATGTTTAATGTATGGCTGACTTCTGCTGGAGGTGGCCCAGTATGGAGGCCAAACCCAGCCAGGATAATCACTGAGTTCATATGGACACTTGGGAACCCCTGTTGTAATTCTGCCTTCTGAATGAGAAGGATAGAATCATAGAATCATAGAATCATAGAACGTTTTGGGTTGGAAGGGACCCCTACAGGTCATCTAGTCCAACCCCCCTGCAGCGAGCAGGGACACCACTAACTAGATCAGGTTGCTCAGAGCCCTGTCCAACCTGGTCTTGAATGTTTCCAGGGATGGGGCCTCCACTGCCTCTCTGGACAACCCATTCCAGTGTTTCACCACCCTCATTGTAAAGAATTTCTTTCTTATATCTAGCCTAAACCTACCCTGTTTTAGTTTAAAACCATTACCCCTTGTCCTGTCACTGTTGTCTCTACTAAAAAGATTGTCCCCATCTTTCCTATAGGCTCCCTTTAAGTACTGAAAGGCTGCAATCAGGTCTCCACGCAGCCTTCTCTTCTCCAGGCTGAACAAGCCCAACTCTCTCAGCCTGTCCTCATAGGAGAGGTGCTCCAGCCCTCAAATCATTTTTGTAGCCCTCCTTTGGACCCGCTCCAACAGTTCCATGCCCTTCTTGTGCTGAGGGCTCCAGAGCTGAACGCAGTACTCCAGGTGAGGTCTCACCAGAGCAGAGTAGAGGGGCAGAATCACCTCCCTCGACCTGCTGGCCACGCTTCTCTTGATGCAGCCCAGGACACAGTTGGCCCTCTGGGCTGC